AAGGAAAGGAAAGGGTATTAGAAGTATAAGAAATTAAAAAAGGCCAGAAAAAAGGAAAGGAAAGGAAACAGGGAGAAAAAGAAAGGGAAAAGTGATGGAAGGGTGTGAAAAAGGGAAATCAAAAAACAAAGGATAAAGAGAGGAGATAATGAAAAGAATGGAGAGCATGAAAGAAAAGAAACAATAGAAAATGAAAAGAAATTAAAGGGGAATAGAAAAACACCCTGTCAAGTACCAGTGGACCAAGGAACGATGCCCACACTCCCCTAATTATGAACTTTTGCGGGGGGTAAATTCCGAATTCACTTATTCTGCTTGACATGAAATATGTGGCAGATCAGTTGAAAAGAAAAAGATGAAAGATAGATGGATGTGGGATTAAACTGCAAGGAGAAAGGGTCTTCACTGAGAGGGAATGGAAGAGAAGCTCAATTACATTTTAATGGGTGGAGCCGTGACCTCCAGCACCACCTTATGGCAGGTCAGGAGAGGGGTTAACCCTCCAGGGGCAGGAGGATCATGGGAAATGAGGTTTTTGAGGTCACTGGTTAATGCGTTTACTGCTCCCTCACTACAACTCCTATACTAACCTTCAACAGACATGAATGCATGATGGGAAAACAGGGAATTGCGGGACCAGGCCGGTAAAAGACCGGGTGGGCATCTCAACTTGCGGGCCCCAGCGTGCTTCTCACCTTCTCTTTCAGCAAGCTCAACATGCTAAGTGAGAACATTGTTCCGGTCAATTTGTTCCTTTCAGAGTCCCAGTGGGCAGTGTCCTTTAGCCTGACAGCACACTGAGAGAAAGCACTCTGTCTGGAAGGGTCTGACATCAAGACAAGAGTGAGGGAGAGACAGAGAGATGTAGGGAGAGAAAGAAAGAGCGAGCGCTGTGCCAAAAAGGGAGGGACGGTTTGAGATATGGAGAAATCGAAGGCTGACAAAAGAAAAAAAAGAAAAGGGAAGGAAACCGGATGACAGTAAAAGACCAATAAAATGTACAGAAATGACAGGGACGGAGTTAGGGGGCCCTGTATTGGGGAGTTCCAGTGAATGGCGCCCCTCCGGTCATGGATCCCTTCAAAAAGGGGGAGGGGGATGGGGATGGGGGGGGGAGGGGGATGGGGATGGGGGGGGGGGGGGTGTTAAGCAGCCGCAGGTGAAGCAAAACCCCAAGGGCAACTGTAAGTGTGCATGTGTGTGTGTCCGCGCGTGTGCCCCCTGTGCCCACAGCACCTGTTCCCTCGGCACACTGGCCTCAACACTTGCACTGAAGGGTGAAGTGCGGCTGTTGGGGGGAAAAGGGCGCACTTGAACAGGGCACCTATTCAAGAAAACTTGGAACACTCTCCATTTCCCTCCTCCACATTTCAGAATATCCTCCGAATTACATCCCAGTAAAATCAGCAGGAGGTTTGCTCAGGCTCGGTGCATGTTGGGAAAGTTGCACGTCTCCACTTTAAGTAAGGCTGGTAATAAAACAGCTCTGTGTTTGTTGGGGATTAGAACGGCTCTGCTGAACAGTCTGTTAAGATGCAAAGTGCATTAAAGATGTACAAAAAAACAACGGCGGCAGCAGAATTGACATTGTTGAGAATGACCCAGTTATGTTTCTGTTCTCAATGACGTGACTAACTTTTTGTCCTATAAATACATTCAAAAATACACACAGCGACTTGAATACACCTCTTTTATGATGAAAATGTTTTCAATTTCTAAATGAAAACAACTCATTTTGATGAATTTATGGGGGGCATAAAGCCAAAAAGGTCAGTGTGAAATCATAATGAAGCAATAAAATGTTAAAAGTATTCAATAATTACTTCCTAAACAAAAAAGAAAAGAAAAAGAGTCATGTGGTCCCAACCAACTTGCAGAAAGAAAAAAGAAAACATTTAGCATTAAATTTACATAAAATATCTGGCAAGGTAAAGAGGTCTCTTAAAATATCTGATTATTTATTTTTTGCATTAAAAAAAAAAAAAATCCAATTACCCTGAAAATAATATTTAACATTGTTTTGTTGTGGACACTAATGTACTGTAAGGAAGACATTCAAATAAAAGTATATGCGAGGATTACACCACATGATATTTTAAGCATCATTAAATTGAAACTTTTCTTGAAAATAAAAGTGTTTTGAAAGCAATGAATACAAAGAGCATATTATATGGCATGCGTTTAAACTAGATTTTTAAAAGATCATAGACAATCTTATGTACATCATTGACCCAAATACAGAGTAAGTGACAGCTTAATTAATTTCTTGCTCATGAAAACAAACAGTGCAGCGCAACAAATAGAGTTAAAAAAAGCTAACACTGAAACCGATCTATTCTGAGTCGTACACTTCCTGTGCACTTTACAAATTGTGAGCTGTTGGTGCTTATGATAATTTAGTGTGTAATGAGTGGTTTTGTATGTGCGTTCGAAGAGGTCAGTGGAACGCTCATACAAATGCCACCTTCAGTCATGAATCACGGGCCTTAGGGACTGTCGAAATGAAAAAATGTGAATGCTTAAGCTGGACTGAAACCAAACAAAGAAGATGGATGGTATAACCCAATTCACAATTTAAAAAATGAACAGTCCTAATTACTGCTTTTGAGCTTGAGACCTTTAATCATATAGACAGTGAGTAAATTGTGATTTTGCGTCAAAGAACAATTCTTGTTCAGTAAGCTTGAGTTGTTGAAGAAAGTAGGCTGCAATCCTATCCACATCTTACTTTTCTTTCACTAAAGGACATCGTCTCCACAGGCAAATCCTCTTTTCACCCCCTTTCTCATCTGCTCTCTCTCCTGGGTTCTTTTAAAATGCTCTCAACCTTAGGGACTTCACTCTCTTCTTTCTCTTTTTCCAGTCCACAAACCTTGAAGGATAACAAAAGAGCGCAATGGCTATTTGAATTTGAAACAGGGGCACTACGACAAAAAACAAAACAAAAAAAAGTGTCTCACACCAAGGCTGCAGAGGGACTGTGCTGAAGAGCCAGCCATTCATGATAGTTCACCCTCACGTCGAGAAAGCAGAATGAAAAATACTATTCTGGAACAATGCAACCCACTTAGTGTGGTGGAATATGAACAGCTGCTGAATGGGTGTACGTTCAAACACCTGGGTGATACGGCACGGTAAAACAAACATGTAAACACCCACCAACTATACACATACCCTCTCTACTCATAAAAATTCTTCAATGGTTCTTTGCATTCTTTTATATTCAAAGTATCTATCAAGAAATGTATTGAGATGTAAGAGCTATATGTGGGGGACTAAAAGAGCTCTTAATGTGTTCTTCAGATCACTGTACTAGGGTCTGGGTTATATATAAACGCACCGGAACATATAGGTTTCATATAAAAAGCTCTTTGTGGAACTTAAATTGGTTTTGCTATGAAATCTGCCTGTAAAAACCTTCTGGTTGTAATTGGAACCTTTATTTTTAAGAGTGCAGGACTAAATGTCAGTTCATAAGAAACAGGGTGAATGCGAAAAGAACAATGACACCTAGATTTACGTGCTTTCCATTTAACAGCTACTGTTCACGGTTTTATTTACACAATTGGTTTTTGTCAAAAGTGCATTTCTCAATACCTATAGTTCACTTTTCAAAAGTCTTCAGACAGTCATACAAGTGCATATAGATTAACTACTGGTCAGCATCTTTCAAAACTCACAAATTCTTTTCTCATTCACAGACAACTATTTGCAAAACTTTATGTATCATTCTCATAACTGTTCAATCATGTATGTTCAAATCAGCAATGTAGCAATCCGCAATGTATTTGTACAGAAATTCCATACTGACGGAACTTTTAATATCTAAAAAAAAAAAGATAATAAAAACAACTACCACAATCAATGCCCTAGCTGACAACAATTTTGCTATGCCAGTTTTATTATAATCAATTCAAAAGAGCCCATCTTTGAAATACAATGTAAACATGTCTGACTGAGATTGATCAGGCATCCCAAGACATTTTAGTGTATCAACAGAAGAATGTTGATTAGCATTGTTATGTTATATTGGTGTCAATCTGTTTGTTTAAAGGTGGATGTGTTGCACGGATATGTGCAGACACATGTTATTGTTTTAGTATCAGAGCTACATTGTATGGTGGAATTACCATATGCCAACAAATGTAAGGCATGCTGAAGCATAACATTTTCAAATTTTCTCTTGTACTGTAATACATACGCTATAACACAATTAAAGAGCTGTCGTTCTTGTAATACTAAGGACTTCTGGTTTCATAACAAATTCTTGCTCAAAGTGTTTTGATGGGTGTAAATGTGGTTATGGCAGAATGAGTTCATTTGTTTTGGTGATTTAAGTAAATTTGAGATTAATTGCTGTCAAGTTGGTAAAGGTAGCTGTAAAGAGTTTGGAGAAAGAAGCCTCAGGCTTGAGAAAGGCACTAAATTGTAAAAGAGTGTACAAACGCAGGAGACATGAGAGCAAAAAGCTAGTAATAAAAGAATAAAGAGAGGCATACGAGATAAATAAAATGAAGACAATGTTGTAAGAGCTGCATTTGATTAAAATAATGCCATAACTTCAAACTAAATGTAATAATGATGAAAGGGCTGCAAGTAAAGTGAAATTGCTGTCAATACGTAAATATCTTCAAGAAATTAACAGTGTTAATTATTTAATTCTGTTGTTCCACCATCCGTACAGCTAGCCTTCAACACAACCAGAATATCATCAAGTCCTGACCATGCAACAACTCTCTAAATCATGTCTAAATAAAATAAAAAGTACATTTCTTTAATTACATAAGCGGAATCCCTCATTTGACAACAATTACAACACATCCACAATGAACAATATTATAAGACTTGTTTACTTGAGTAGAAACAGCACAATTCAGGGGCGCGTGCAGAACCAAACCCATCGTCACACTGAGATAGAGAGGGGGGGAACCCGTAACAACTAGTCATACAATCCAGAACAGAAGCGTATCATTTGGTAAACCAGCATACTTACCGATAACAGCAGCGGGAAACGGTGAGCCCGGTTCTCTGTGAATGACTCGCCTCCTCGGGACTATAATCCAGAATGACTGAGAGGAGAAGATGAGAGGAGGGGTCCGCGTGAAATCTACTCCTCTCTATCGCACCTGTCTCTGTGCAGATCTGATCCCTGATCTGACATCCTTAAGACAACTGTGTCCAAACCCCCAACAACTAACCCCCAACCCCAACGTACACAACGACACCTGTCCCCGGGTAAAAAACACCGCGCGACAAAGCTCGTCTATGCTGCTCGTGAACAAATGGCATTCCCGACTTGGTCCTGCAGCCGCTGTATTCCCCTTCGGACAGCCTTCCAGAATCCAAGAAGTCGCTTGGAATAAGCAGGGATAAACTGACTTCTGTCTAACAAATGATGGCCAAAAAAAAAGAGTCCACGCCAGCGCAACCAGCTGTGCCTTATGAAAACGTGTCTGTCTGGGCTGGAAACACTTGCCTTATCAATCACCTACCGCTACAATACTTATTCAGTGCTGCGCCAGTAGAATGTACGCTCCTGAGCGCGTGGACAAAAAGGCACGTTCATTTGTTTGGTGCGCGCGCCGCTGCCTCCAATTTGAGTCCAGCCTTTGCACTCCGCTAAAAGAAACTCTTATTGTCCGGGAGAAATGTAATATTTCCTGCAATCCCCGGGATGTACCTCGCGGCGTTTGGTATGAGAGAGAAAGATCACGCGTTTGCCATCTCAGCGCTGTTGTAAGTCTGTCACCCACAGCTATTGAAACGCAAGTCAATGCCAAAACCTGACGCAGAATAGAGCTGCAGACTGGAGCGGAATTAATTTGTTGTTAATCATTTGGGGTCAGAAAATACATCAGCGATACTTGGTTGAGTGGATTAGTCCTCGTATAGACGTGCAAGTGGCAAAGTAAGTGAATTTAATTTGGAGATCGAAAGAGCGAGCATATAGGCATTAAAATAAAGTAATCTTTTCACTGCAAAGGCAGTTTAAAATATAGCATAAGTTGTAATTCTTAATATAGAATTTTCTTAATAAAATTATAAATAAAATAAATTATAAATGAGAATATATACACACTGTCGTGATTTTAAGGCTTATATTTTAAATCAAGTAATATTTTATGATTATTTTATATTTTAGGCTATACTAAATATTTAAAGTCCCCATGAAATCAAAATGGAAGTTTTTTGGATTTTAGTATGAATATGTTAGTCTTACTGTTGCTAGTGTGCTCCAAAACAATGACAAAATTCATATTTAGAAGATAATAAGCTTTCAAAGTCTCTCACTTCTGCCAATATGGATCAATGATTTTGATGACATCACACTATACTTCAGCTTCTCATTAGATTTTCTGTCCAATCAAATGCTCTCTAGAATCTACAGCGTTCCACCCCCAAATAGACACTGAAGCCGCAAATTGGTCACTTGTTCACACATTTACTATTTGAATGGCACATAGTGACATAGTGCATTATATAGGAAACGATTCAGACAGTGTAAATTTGCTGTCCATTGGGGAGAATGAAGTCTGGTTTTGTGTTAGTGCCCGTTATCATTCCTGGTGTGAATGGCCGTTCATAGGTTTTTTTTAATGCTGAGCCAAAGCAGCTATAGAGCCATCTTTTTCGTTCCTACGCGCTGCATTGTCTGTACACTGAATTTGAAACAAGTATACCTAAAATGCTATATCTAAATATAGGTGAATACATCTGTGTCAATTAATACACTTCATACTATATTATTTTCTGTTCATTGAGATGCAGATTTACATACATTTAAATCATAATAAAGATTACAATTTTTTTTAAAGAATTGCATACAGGTGAGATTTTCAAGACAGGGAGGGTAATAATAACAATTCATGTTCCTTCTTCTTTTCCTCATTCCTCTATCTGTGATCACACTAAGTTATTGTGAGGACTCCAGACAACAGATGAGTCGGCATTCAGCAGTTGGTGACTTCATTAGTTAAGCTGAAGATGCCTTGGGCAGGTACATGAATGACTAATAGACTGACGTTATCAGACAGATAATAAAAACAACTGAGCATTTCCTCACGGTGACTTAAAAACTAATTATGTTTATACATCGACAAAAAAATCTAGGTGTGTGGTGTATGTATATCATAATATAAGTTAATTTAGAGTAATTAGACAGCATTGTGACAATTCAGGCCCTTCCACACAAAGTCAATTTGATTAGCCGCTGTCGCAATTGGGGTAATTGAGTTGGCTAAGCCCCAATGGTTCACAATTATTACCCAGTACGATTCTCCCTATTGTGATCTTTAAAAAAAAAAGTATCAAATTAGGCCAAAGAAACTTTGAGGGAAACATCTTGCTTTGTTCGCCTCTCCTTGATCTGAAGTAAAGCTCTCGCAAGAGAGCGATGTGGAACTGACAACAAATAAATAAACAAAAGAGAAGCTCAGTTTTGTTCTTCCTGGCTTTCATCCCACACTGCCTCTCTGAAATGGAGCATTTGCTTCAAACCCGGGCCACAAAACCGTGTTGGGAACACGAAACGAGGCAGTTTATCAGAGACAAAGAACTTTGAAGAGCAACATTTTTTAGCTTTCACTCCTGTTAGAGAAGCAACCAAAGATCACTCTGAATCAGTGCAGTGCTAACTCTGAAACAGTCATCATTCTTAGTCGTGATGCTAAAATAATGTTCCCATCTTCCGCTCCAGGCTAACGCTGGGTGCCAGGTGCATATATAGGTGACTGGACGAGATAAGAACAGTGAGGTCACCATTACGCCGCAATATGAGGTGCAATGTGATATCTCTGGGTAATGACATATATCTTAGCTCTAGGGCTGCATTGCATGTGATCAAGCACAATCGAATTACTTGCAGTCACAAGCCAACCATCATGTCTCCATTTCCTTGTGATTTGATTGCAGGTCCCGATAGCAGCCGGCGAATAGCCGAGCAGTTTATTCCATGTTGATATCCATTATTAGAGATATCTAGGTTTTAATGGGATGGGATACTTCAGTTTCGGCCCATTGCTTCAAGTACACGGTGGCTTTACAGTAGCATTGCTTTTGTACTTGCAGTAACAAGATTTCACTCCATAATTCCATATCGTAAAGCACCATATAGATCATTGTGCTGGCTGGAAACCAAACAGCCTAATAGCCTACACATTCTCAATCATATAGCTGTCTAAAAGCTCCAAAGCCTTATTTGTTTATGAGCAGAAATCCATGCAACAAGTGCCAAACGCAACAATAAGCTGAGCCCTAGGTGACTTTTGTCAACCACCCAAATCCGAACCTCTTTCTTTACTGTTTTCGCTATAATCACAAGCACATGTACAAATCGAATCAACAGCCATTATTACTTGCGTCTCAATAAACATACTCTCCATGGAGTCTTGACTCAACGTTTGTGAATGCAAATGCAATTACAGGTCATTTGAACTTGGTAGATGTCCAGTGCTGATAAAAAACAGAGCTGGTTTGGACTAGTCTGACAATCTATTGTGCTACTAGAGGTTGGTGGTAGCTTGGTTAATGACATTGTGCAAATTTTTTATTATTAATTTAGTCTTATTTATTAATTTATTAAAAAATACAATTCATAAATACAACAACTTGAATACAGCTCTTCTATGATAAGTAATGTAATACTGTAATCAATTGGGGGGGGGGGCATAAAGTTGAAAATGTCAGGGTTATAGTGATATCATAATGAAGAAAAAGAAGAAATAGGAAAGAAAAAGGCATTAAACCGATTATTATAAGAATTAAATTCTTGAAAGAAAACCTTATAAAGAAGTTTGGCATAACAGAACTGCTTCACTGCTTAATAAAATCTGAAAAAAACTTTTGTTTGCCACAAATTAAAGTCATGTGGTCCAATGAACGTGCATAAACATGCAGGGGGGAAACATAAAACAGTAAATGATATCATAGAGAGGACTCCTGCAGACCATCATGACTATGCGTCAAGGTCAATAAGTCTCTTAAAATATCAGATCATTTTACCTTATTATGACAAAGCAGGATTAATTCAGGTTGTAAAAGAAATTGCATGTGGAGTGACTCCCCAATAAGCTTCATATTTATTCATTTTTATATATATATATATATTTCCAGCCATGCGATATTCTACTATCACACGGTATCCATTTCACAATTTGTATCACTCCGCTTCTTTCTGCCAGATCTATACTGGCAGCATTTCTCACATTAAAGGGATAGTTCACTTTGAAATAAATTTTTGGTATGTTTTAGCTTACCTCAAGGGCATCCAAGATGTAGGTGTCTTTGTTTCCGCAGTAGTTTCAATTTTTATATTTTTAGGTCAAACCGTTCTTGTCCGTCAGTCATATAATGCAGGTCTATGGTCACTTCCTCAAAGAGCATGCACAGAGAAGTCCAAATTAAACATGATTTAATGACTCGTAAATGTAAGTACACATTGATGGCCTAAGACACGAAACGAGCGGTTTGTGTGAGAAAACGAACAGTATTTATATCGTTTTTACCTCTTGTAAACACAGCCACGTCCAAGTGATCTGAGGGCGCGGGCGCTTCGGTCTTTTCCGGCAAGCGCCTGAAAGCGCCGGACGTGATCTCTCGCGCATGTACGTCACTCATTGTTTACACAGAACAGAGATTGTAGGTAAGACGGCTAATTAAAATGGTACTGATTTGCGCTTATCCGGGATGTTTAAACCGTCGTAAAAGAAAACAATTAAAAAAAATTCAAAATAAAACAATTGTATGAGTGACGTACACGAGCGAGAGATCGCTTCCGGCGCTTTCCGGCGCTTGCCGGAAAAGACCGAAGCGCCCGCGCCCTCAGATCACTTGGACGTGTCTGTGTTCACAAGAGGTAAAAACGATATAAATACTGTTCGTTTTCTCACACAAACTGCTCGTTTCGTGTCTTAGGCCATCAATGTGTACTTACATTTACGAGTCATTAAATCATGTTTAATTTGGACTTCTCTGTGCATACTCTTTGAGGAAGTGACCATAGACGTGCATTATATGACTGACAGACAAGAACGGTTTGATCTAAAAATATCAAAATTGAAACTACTGCGGAAACAAAGACACCTACATCTTGGATGCCCTTGAGGTAAGCTAAAACATACCAAAAATTTATTTCAAAGTGAACTATCCCTTTAAGCATCAATGGTGGATGGAGCAAACCTACTAGTAGTACTTTACAAATACAGTACTACAGTTATTGTGTCCCAGAATTTTAAGAGTTTTTTATGCGAGAATAGTTGTTTAAACCTCAAATGCAATTTATATATAAACATAGCTCCTATTAGAACATTTGTTTTGACGTTTTCGGAGATGTGAGCTCCAGGTCGTCAGCGGCCGTTCAGTGCTCATCGAGAACAGCTTTATCTCGGCCAGTCCTTCATGAATTTGCCTATGGCCTAATCACAGCCGTGCTGATATAGAGCCATATCACACTCCTACTCGTGTGATATTGATATAGCTCATTAAAACTTTTTGAAAGTAGTGATAACACCCTACAAGGAATATGTTAGCACAGCTAAAACTGCATGACACCACAAAAAGTTCATTTTTAGGAACTTGCCCCCGTGTTTTAAACTAGGTTTTTAAAAGATTCATTATTTTTTATTATCGTCAACACTCTTTTACGTCCATGACGCTACAATCAGGCTGTCTGTGTAAATTGTTGAAGGAGAGCAGTACAAAAGCGCCTCATCTCTCGTTTCTCAGTGGTCGGTGTGCCACAGTTGAAGGCCTTGTTTGGTA